ATTTTGGATTCCAAAAGAAAATTACCCAGAATGTAACCACAAAGTGACCAGTTGCATGTGGGGCAACAGGTGTTGGGGACTATGTTGACTTTAAGTTTGCAAAGAGTGGCCAGCATCTTTACCAGGGGTGCATCAATCTTCTTTGAGCTTCCATTCAAAGGTCTTCAAGCACAAATAGTGTGGCATGTGCCAGTCAACAAGGAGTGAAGGACACACTCTTTTTGGTCAGACTCCAGAGAAGTGAGGGAAGGCATATTGAGGTGTTGGTGCTTAGCCAGTGCAGAATGGATTTGGGGTAATGGGAGGCAGGAAGAGAACAAAGGAGAGACAGAGCTTGATGACACCTGGTCATTTGCATGCAGGCAGACTGTTAATTGGCCCCAAGATGTCCTGATGTCCTGAAGCGCAAGATGCCCTGTTGGAAGGACATCACAAGGACACAACCACTCCTGGCCAGAAAATGGCTATATAGGCCTCAGTCAGACTCAAAAACAGGATGTTGGGCAAAGGAGAATATTGGGGAATATACACAGGAGACACAGGAGAGGACTTAAACATCATTGGGGGATTCTACAGCGAGCAGTAGAGGAAGGCTCCAGCATCATCTTCTTCATCTCCTACACAATATTGGAACAGGGAGGTGCATAAGGGACCACATTGCTCAAAGGACTATAGTTTTGTGCAACTGTGGCAGAAGGAGGCACTATATGAAGCTGGTTTCAGGAGAATAACTCTGCTGGATGCTTTCTTTGGGACAATGGTTTTTGGAAACTGGTATGCATGGGGTTCTTTCTGGTCTGTGGGTGTGTGGCACCTGTGGATAATTTGTGTTGTGTTCTATGCCAGGTAGGCAGTAATAGATATTGTAACTGCTAGAGAATAAGAAGGGCAATTATGAGTTCTAAAATAACTGTCTTGTCTGGTCTGTGGGTGCACTAGTGTTTCTGGGATATATACAGAACCTGTTGTGTGGGAGAAATGGGTCCTGGCAACCTTACAATTGCTAGGGCGCATAGTAGGTGATAGTTCCTGCATTTTAGCGTCGCTATCATGACATAACTTTACCAAAATTAAAAGATTACAAGTAAAGAGGCAACTGGATGATGACATTCTGTAGCACACAACTGACATTCAAGTAATTCTAGGGGATTTCTGTAAATGATTACACAAAAATTTAGATGGCATACATACCAATTTTATGTTTCAGTGCCTTTTGAGTTCAGAACTAATACTTATTTGAATTCCACCTCAATAAATAAAGTAATAGATTTTGAAGCTTTACACACCTTTAACAGTAAAAAATACGGCGTTTTGGAACAACTCAAGCGATCAGAATTAAAATTGTACTCCAGACCCTCAACAGCAGAGGGCAACCATACACCGCAAACTCATTCTCAGATAGATGAGTAGTACTTTCCTGATTGATGTTACTTCGCATATTGTAGGATTTATTTTAATTTTAATTGCATAGTAGGACGGATTATATGCTCTCCAGTTGACCCTTATCGAGTGCATTTTTCTCATGACTGTCAGCGTCCCATCATGCCATTTTGACCCCCGAAGACGTCTGGGAAATAATATTCTCCGATGACAACAGCCAAGTTCATAACCGCCTGATAGCACAGGGAATCATAGCGATTATTGCCAGGAGTACCAGCAATACGCTTGAACGTTATATATTGCATATGGAAATAACATTTTTAAATTTGCCTTCAAACAGTTTGTAGTATATGGATTAAACAAAATCTGATCGTTGCTGGTTTTGTTATGCTCGTCGTTTTTATATGAAACTTGCATATGAACAAAATGTACCATTAAACGGTGAAAGTTGCCTTATATTTGGACCTACAATCTCACCATACTTTGGGTGCTAATGTAGATTTGAGCAAGCTCACTGGAAGAAAGGTCTGTAGAACGTACCAACACAACAGTTAAAAGACTGAAAATGTTAGAATCCATTAATGCACGTTCATTCTGTTTTTGAGTCTAATTGTAACAGAATTACATTTCTTTACATATAGATATGAAATAAAAGACCAAGAGAAAACCGTAAAAAGTCAAATAATTCATAGCTAGTTTCATAGAGCAGATTCTCATGCTCAAGACGATTTCAAACATTACTGGTCTTCATAAGGTGCTTTATGTGTAAGTGAAAAGTGCTTATTAAAACCCAAGTTTGATAAAGTTATAACAAACGTAGCTGTAACCCTTACGTAAAATATTAACATGCCAGTTTATCAATTCAGAAATTAACTGTCGAGTTTCTTTTTCACATTGTACGTTTTGATAAAATACGCATAATATTTAAGATAAATCCTACATCATGGATAATGAAAATAGGACGTTTTTTACTTTCAAAAGATGTTTGATAATATGAATGTACCATTTAAAATGGATTTTTGTTTTTTAAACAGTCTACACAAATTCCTGCCGAAGTAATGACCTTTAGCAGAGTTTCACTGCGGGCTGAGCTGAACATTAATTTCAATAGGCTGTATTAGCTGAATCATTACCATATTGTCTAGAATATAAGTGTATGTCAATCGTTACCAAACTTCGCAAGTATATTTTACACAAATCGTTTGAGAGAAGGTGAGAGTTCCTCTGTTAAAATGTCTGTAATATTAATTTTGAATTTGTTATGCCTCAAGAATGGTCAACACATTACTGCATAACTATATTACTTCACACGTCATTGCCTATTCGCGATTTGACATTTATGATACTGAATGATTCTGGATGAATGGCACTAAAAAGTCCAACAATTAAATAATTTCTCCTCATAGAAATTTGTTTACACAGATCACTTTCTCAAGTCTTGATCCCCAGACGCATACAACAGAGACAAATTCAGCTGGAATCTGAATTGAATCGTTTTATATTTACTACTTTACTTAAAAAAACAGCCTTTGGTCAGTAACATATTTTAGTTTTTGAATTTGTGTAATGGACAGTATTTTCACTAATATTTTATATTATCTAGAAACGTTATCTGAAATGATCATGTTAACTTTTCTCATTTTCCCTTTCGAGGGTCGCGTCAGTTGGTAAAGGTTTATTCTGAATTACAGTATTATCCTTCTTTGGCCCTAAAGCTGGACACTGTCTCTTTAAACCCGAGTCACACTTACCGCATTACTACGTAGATGAGAGCGCAAAATTCATCAGGCATTTTAAGAAGAAAATAACTATTGGCTGCTGTACTGTTTTCCCAGAGAATCGCCAGTGAATTGTAAGTGCTGAAAACAATCTACAGATTTCGTGTGTATAGCCTTTAAAGTAGTTCATTCCTTCTCTGTTTTAGGAGAATGTGTTACTATGTATCGGATGTGCTTAGTAGCTAGTCGCGTATATTTTGTTTCAGGAAATACAATCTAGCACCTCTCCACTTACTCCTGTATTTCCCAGTGTGTTTACTACAGCCGGACAGCGCTAGGCCAGAGTTCTGTCGGCTCACTAGAATTTTTGTGCAAGTGATTTTTAAAATACCTGGGAATTTTCCAAATTAAAGTACGGGTGGTGAGATTTTAGAGGTAATCTGCTAGTTTCACTGCATAAAGTATTTTTCTTTGAATTGGAAATAATGCCTCTACTGTAGATCGGTGTACTTAATCGTACAGTGAACCTACTCAACAACAGCATTACTTGTGTTCTGGAACGTTTTTTAAAAATAATTGGTTTAAAGTTATTTAACTTCGGGAGACGGTTGTTAAAAAGAGATAGTAGTGCATTTCGTTTTTTACGGCAATGGTAATGTTGTCTTATCTTACTGTAATTTACTGTACTGCATGCTGGTGCTTTTTTGCATTAACGTGTTTCACGCGTCATATAAAACATTGTATCAGTTTATAGAACTGGCAGAAAAAACACATTTAGAACTGAAATATATCATTGAAGATTAAAGACATGCATGCAAATGAATCAACTAAATCGTTTAACAAATTACATTTTCAGCCAATAATGTTTTCAATTCTGTCATATTATGGATGTTACATAAAATTTACGTACTACTTCAATTTTTAAAAGCTTTTGCCATTCATTTGCCAAAATCCAAAAACCTTTTGATTTTTCTTATTTGCAGTAGGCTAGAGAAGAACGCTGTATTCTTATGACAGATCTTGTACTTTAACAATAGGACACGATGATGAAGCTTTTAGTATCACTAAGACCACTTTAAAACGAGATGAGTATTAGAAGGTATTGAAATAAGCTAACACTTAAAATTGTTAAAGTTAATTTGTCAATTAATATTCTGCTTGTGTACAGTACAGATAGTGTTTTATACTATGAGGAATATATTTATGCCGTGTGAGGTCTGGGAACTACATTTGTAATCTCCAAAGAAAGTTACCTTATTTCAGACTTTCTGGATATTGTGCAAATCTCGGTAACTCATGTTTGAGTAAGATTTACTTGGTAGGTTGGGGGAGAACATGATCGTTTCTGTTATTCTTGGTTCTGTGACCGTACAGTTACAATAACAAGTTTTGTAAGATTTATCCTTCCGCCTCTCCTGCATTCAACACAGATTTCCAGAAAGCGGTCTTGGAATTTTGTCTCCTATTCCAAAGATGGCTTCTTAAGTTGGATCACAACATTCACAGTGTGGTATTTTTTAAAATATACCCCTTGCTCGCTGTTTGGTAAGAGCCATCTTGATTTGCTTTGGTATTGCAAGAGCCATCTTGATCTCTCCATCTGCTTACTTCCCTAATAACATGTACAAAGGTCAGCTGGAAAAGAGGGCACCCATCTTAAGAGCAAATGAGGTACACTCTGTGTTGTGTGTAAAATGCAGTGAGACAAGATTAAACAATTAAAGTTGTCCAGTGGATTTCTGAAATGCTTTTCAGCAATACATTTCTAACTGCTTTATCCAGTACAGGGTTGCAGGGCACATTGGAGCCGAACCTGGCAAGCCACAGGTGCAATGAGCGATGAATCCTGGATGGGATGCCAGTTTCTCACAGGGCAGACACACACATTAGGGCATTAGGGCCAGTTTTCCTAGAAGCCAATTAACCTACCAGTAGGTCTTTGTACTGTAGGAGGAAACCCACACAGGTTATAATAATAATTGCTCACACTTATATAGCGCTTTTCTGGAAACTCCACTTAGAGCACTTTACAGGTAATGGGGACTCCCCTCCACCACCACCAATTTGCAGCCCCACCTGGATGATGCGCACACCAGAACGCTCGCCACACATCAGCTATCAGTGGGGAGGAGAGCAGAGTAATGCAGCCAATTTATTGATGGGAATTATTAGGAGGCCATGATTGGTAAGGGCCAATGGTAACACCCCTACTCTTTTCAAGGAACCCTGGGATTTTTAATGACCACAGAGAGTCAGGACCTCGGTTTACGTCTCATCCGAAGGACGGCGCCTGTTTACAGTATAGTGTCCCCGTCGCTATACTGGGGCATTAGGACCCACACAGACCGCAGGGTGAGTGCCCCCTGCTGGCCCCACTTACACCTCTTCCAGCAGCAACCTTAGTTTTTCCCAGGAGGTCTCTCATCCAGGTACTGACCAGGCTCACACCTGCTTAGCTTCAGTGGGCTGCCAGCTGTGAGGTGCAGAGTGATATGGCTGCTGGCAGATGCGGGGAGAGCATACAAACTTCCTTCAGGTAGCACTGCAGGAGCTGAACCCCAGCATTGCTGACCGCTACACCACTGTGCCGCCCACCTTTTCAAGATCTTGTACTATAAAAAGAAGATCTACGTTTAACTGACCACACTAGAGATATCAGTCTCATCTAAGTCAATATTGCATTGCAGGGTAGGTGATGAAAACAGGAAAAATAATACCTTTCCACTGTAACAGTGCTACATGAAATCTTTGGTCCTGCATTGACAGCGGCCTCCATTCAATACCTTCTGAGAGAGAGGAAGAGGACCAGCTGAGGGAAAACAGAGATTATGCCTGTGTCTGAAGGTCAGAGATGAGGTTCTGTACTGAACGGCGAAATAGCCATGTGACCATTATAGCTGTCCCTATCGGGAGGCGCAGCTGCAGATAGTCTCGTTAGTGCAGGATTCCCACACGTTTATCAGTACACTGTGGCCCGAGTGCGGCTCTTGGGCCTCCTGTGCGCTTTACTGGTGATTAATTATTGAAAACTTGTGACTGCACCACATCCTCACGTCCTTGTCCAGTCCGTGTGCTTGTTTCTCCCTCAGTCTAAGTACAAAATACTGATCAAGATCCTCTGCCAAAGGATCAGCCCTCATTTACCCTCTAGGTTTCTCCTTGTACCCCCTCCCCTTTCCCCTGCTAGTTTAAACACCCAGACCAGCATGTTTCCCTTAAGTACCTAAAGCAGGTTCTTCCCAGGCGTGTCAGGTTCCTGTGATTGCTTACTCTCTTCCTGGGACTTGTAGATTCACAGCCTTCAATCTGTCCATGACTCCATTTCTTTTAACGGTTTGTTGGGACTATATTGGTGCTATGTTATGCTGCCCCTTGGCGGGGGGGGGTGGTTAGGGCTCTGGACTCCTGAGTGGAGGGTCATGGGTTAAAATTCTGAGTGGGGACACTGTTGTGGTACACTTGAGAGCCCAGATTGCACTAGCAGACCCAGACAACCTCTGGAAGCTGTTCCAATAGTGTCAGCCAAATGAATAAGAAATAGCCTACATGTAACATGGTGTTGATGTAAACTTCTGAACCCTTATCATATATCTCTGGTAGGAACAAATGATTGATTTGTATGATAAGTTGGGGGGATCAGGTTTCCAGAAGAAGATTTTCTGATGTCCCACGCTAGATTTATGCTTAGGTTTTGATCAAAACCTTATGGTGTGGCATTTGGGTTGCTGTTTCCAGGTTCTTCTGTAGTGAAGTGTTTTTGGGTTGGGTTTACCTGTTGGGTATGAAGAAGGAAGTTTGTGAAACAAACAGTAGCTGGGAAGTTTCAACTAACTTGATTATCTTGGAAAAAAAATAGTCCACTTTGAGCAAAGATATTTGAACATTATAAAGCCCACTTCTTTTTTTTTTAATTGTGCACTTTCGTAGAATCTGTACTGTATATTGATGATGTTATTCCAAAGTTGTCCCTAATACTGTACAATTATATAATTTGTCCAAAAAGTAGTAAATTTTACTGTGGAATGAAACATTACTTAATAATTCTGACCCTGACCCTGACTGGACTCCAGGAATGCTCAGTATTGTGTTATGAGAGCCAATGACACAGTGACTTAGCCTGAGAAAACTGTTACAGCTGTGTTAATACTTAGCTCTAAAGTCCCAGCTGAAGATACGTATCAATCAGCAGTTATTGCCTGAGGGGTCATTTCAGACATCGTACCTTCTGACAGGATCAGTCAGACCATCACTAGACCAATAGGCATTTAATTGCACAAATCTCTTACTAAACAGGAGCATGGACTTCTGGCATAGACTCAGAAGTATGGCTCATGTTTGCTGATTGAGAAAGACAGTATTATAAAAAGAAAGTGTGAAAAAAATTGCCTGGGCACTGAGATGAAATGTCTGATTAAAGGTTAGATACAGGAGTAGTTGCAGTTGAACTAAATGATTTTGTTATAGCTTCAGCTGCTGAGAAAAATATTAATTTGAAATGCTATTTGCTTATTCATTTAAAGGGAACTGCAATGCTATTTTTATATTTCGGGGTTAGAATCAGCATTGATGAGTGTATTTCAAACATTCCTAAAAGGAAAATATACACATTAACTTGTAAAAAACTCCAATTTAAATCACAAAATAGACAAATTTTCCAGGTATACACAGCACCATATTCTGTGATTCAGAATGACGCAACAAAACTTCCAGTGGTGTATTGTGGCCCTATTACATTGTAAACAAGCAGGCTTGTGAATACATCTTTTTGAATCCAATAGATATATTGCTCTCGACTTCAAGACGTTTTTGCTTGTTTACTACTTACTACTACTAACGTCTTAACTCCTCATGCAGATCACATTGGAACATTTCTGCAATTAAATATCTGCTGCACAGCCTGTACGTATTCAGTCATACATCACATACCATTAGTTATTGCAGTGACTAGTGAGCAGGAAGGGCTGCATCACGTCACAATTTGTGGAAACTCTTGGTCTCACCAGTGGCAGGACCAGGGGTGTGTGATAACTTGGCAACTAACAGTACTTTCACAAAGTTCACGATTTTGTGCTTAATTCAAAATTTGTAAAATGTTTCTATAGCGTCATGGAATTTATTTGTTACTGAGATTTAATAACCATTCTGAGAATTTGGGACTGCATTTCTCCTTTACAAGCCACATTTAAAAATGACTGTTATCAATTATATTTTTTTTGGTTTTCTGAATAATGATTCATTCAAGTAATAAAGGCTCCAAGTGATTGAGTTCATACAGTAGCTGCTACTACATGTCAGAGTTGTTGCTGCAGGTGAATCTACCATTTTGTATCTGCTTTATCCAGTACAGATCAACCATTTTCATTCTGTGTGAATTTTTGTTAATGCTTATCTCAGTTGTCTTTGAAATGAGCTATGCACAGGGAAATATTTTAAGTACCTGTTGCTATCTACAAACAGTACTCCTGTCTCAGTGTGCAGAGTTCACCTGTTGAATGTTTTATACTGGAAATAACCATCTTATCCTCTTTAGAAATGTACTCTTTTAATGTGTATCTGTGCACACAGGGACAACAACCTGTTTTTGCACTAAGGGAGAAAACCAGAGACCCCCGAGGATACCTATGTGAACAGGGGGAGAACATACAAACCCTGTGCAGATAACACTCCACGAATTGAACCCAGGGCCTCAGTGCTGCAAGGCAATAATGTGAAACACTGCGCCAGAGTGCCCCTAGGGATTATTATTATTATTTTTAATCGTATTTCTCAGCAGTTATTTTTGATGCAGGCCTCCCAGTGTGAAAGTGAAAAATCACTGCTAACATACTCGATACCAGCATGGGAGCAATCAGGGCTGTGCACACTCTTCTACTTAAAAGTGCATCTTTACACCTTACATTCATTTTCAGTCATGCGGACATACTGTAGACTTTTTTTTCCAGTGTGTAGACCTATTCCTTGACCCTCAGAAGTGAGATTTACTCTTGATATTTGCACGTATCAGGATGTCAGGCCTTGCTTTCCCAATTGGAAAATGCTTACTTCGCGTTAAATGAGCTTGAGTATCAGTCAGCACTTAGTTTGCCCACACGAAAGAACACACCCGTGGTTTTTGTCTACACGATCAAGTTGATATTCTTTTTGTGTTTAGGGAAATATAGGACATTTTCCTCAGAATTTACAATTAGATAAGAACACAAGAAAGGTTACAAACGAAAGGAAACCACTAGTCTGTTTGGTAATTGTTAGTTAATTGATCCAAGCTTGTTTCTTATATACAACCATGTCTTGAAAGAAACTGGGTTATTCAACAACATGGCTGTTCCATATTGCAATAAGTAACTAAATAACTAGCAACCATATCACCCTGCAACTCACTACTGGCAACCCACTGAAGCTAAGCAGGTGTGAGCCTGGTCAGTACCTGGATGGGAGACCTCCTGGAAAATACTAAGGTTGCTGCTGGAAGAGGTGTTAGTGGGGCCAGCAGGGGGCGCTCACCCTGTGGTCCATGTGGGTCCTAATGCCCCAGTATAGTGATGGGGACACTATACTCTAAACGGGTGCCATCCTTCGAATGAGCCGTAAAACCGAGGTCCTGACTCTCTGTGGTCATTAAAAATCCCAGGGTGTAGGGGTATAAGTGTATATAAGTGTAAGCAATTATTATTATTATTATTAATAACCCTTGGGGTGAAAAAGTGTTTTCTCTTCTCAGACTTAAATACAGATCCATGTAGTTTCCCTATGTTATTTTGCAGTCCTTAGTAGCGTCAGAAAGTATGGAAAGCAAAAAATAAAAATGTGTGAGCACAAATTCTTTTGTGATTTCAATCAAAACCCAAACCGCCATTAACTGTTTTTAGAATGTAGGAGGGTCCTGTTTCACCATGGCTTGTTTTTTACAGTTATGGTATACAGTAACCACCTTTGAGAAGCAACATGGCACTGAAAGCCTCCTTTTTATGAATGGTGTGAGGAACTTTACATTCACATTTGCAGTCACAGAGGCTGGTATTGTAAGTGTTTGCGGCAGGGGAAAAATGCACATTTAGATAGAGGCTGACAGTTATTTAGACCAAATTTATGAAACTCCAGGGCCTTTTACAGTGTTCTTAAAGTTAAGATTTTCAACATAAACCTTTGGCCAATCAGTATCTTTTCTGAAATGCATATTCTTTTTAGTGGACTGGCTCTTTGAGACTACAGGAATGACACCCTTTTTTTTCCCCATAGATTATCAGTTACCTCTTCCTTTTATGGTAGCTGTGTTCGCTACATAACTTTAGAAATGTAGGGTTGTGTTGGCTGTTCACTGAGAAGATTATGCAGTTCTGAGACATCACATGACTATCCAGGGTTGTTTTCCCCAAACTATGAAAGTCCTTCATGAAGTGTTTTCAGGGCTTTTGGTCAAGTTAGATACTGAATGAAACAGTATAGCTGTTTTGCCTCATTTTTGAAGGTTTTCAGTTTTGTTTCCAATATTAAAATATAAAAAAGAAACACTGCACACAATACTGGTTTGAAATAATGAACCACATGATTTGCAAATAAAAAAACATAAAATTGGGAAATTGGATTTCCCTTCCTTGTGTGTCTTGTACCGAATTAGTAGTGGTGTAGCCCCACGTTTCTAAGGCTGTTCTGGTGTAGAGCTTACAAGAGGTGCCAGTCCTCCTACCAGTTGTCTCTTGTTCAGTTGTTGCGTGGAACCTGTTTCATCACTCTCAGTGACAGCTCCACTAAGACAGGAGGGTGACTATTTTCAGCACCTCATTTTCTAGTGCATGACAAAAGGTTTTGTGATCAGTGCTTTATGTTTGCTTTTGGAAATGTAGTTCTGAGAAATTCTGTTTAGTGTGCTGTTTAGGAGAAAATAATGAGAAATGCTAAGAGACTTTGTGTTAAAAACATCTGTATCATGAGCCCAGGGAATCAAGTTAAGTTTTAGTAATTAAAAAACAAGATAGAAATTAGATTAACAGCTAAGGTGTTGCCAGTTTTGGTGTCTTCCAGGGGTCTGGTTTGTTGGCCTTACCTTCTCAGACTTCCTCTACATAATAAGTTTTCTCTTCTTTTTGGTGTAATTTAACAGGCCTGTGTTCTTGTTTCAGGTTTGTTATTTTTGTTCACGTTGTCTGAAAAGAAACTGTTCTGTAAAAAAAGGCAGCAGCAAGAACTTAATCTCTTTTTTTATCGTCAGAATAGCTCTTACTGTCTCTGGTCATGCTGACCGCGGAGTATCACGTATTAGGCTGTGATTCTGGCACTGTATCAAGGGTTTCAAGATAAATAAAGGCAGAAAAGGAGCCATTTGTTTTCATTAACACAGAGATGCCTCTTACAGCCTCTGGCTTATTTGGCTGTTTCCAATAACAGTAGGTCCATGTAGGCTAATGAACAAAGATTTAAAATATGATTTAAAAAATGCAGTACAGAGAGGAAGTAGGTGAAGTTTACTCGTTTCAGAAAATTTTTCTGTGAAAAAATTATCTAAACTTTTTTGCAATTGGCACATTGAATATTTAATCAGTATAATCCAGTAAGATTTTATAATAGCATATTATTGATCATATGATATTTAATATAGGTTTTGATTTCCTGAACAAGGATTGTTCAGTGGCTGAATCTACATGGAGAGAAGAGATGGATAATTGCTTGGCTTAGTGTCCCATTACTAAAGAAAACATTCCATAGGAACTTCTCCAAAAAAACCAAACAAACACTGCACAAAAAGGTTTTGTTAATTGTGTCTGCAAAATGCTCTAACTGGAATTATTTTTTTGCATACAAGCTTTATTGGAGGAGAGCACATTTTTGAAGATGGGGCGAAAAAACGGGTCTTATGGTCTTTGAAGTGTGTGAGAAGAGAACCAGTGTTGTATGTTTGCAGATTACTTTGTCTTCTAAATTCTTCTCAGGTGAATAAGAGAGACAGGAAACATCTGGAACCATGAGCAACCCATACGCCCACATTGTAGAACCTCTGGACCCACACAAACCAGACAAGAAGTTCTACAACCTCTGCAAGCTGGGAGATCCCAGATATGGTAAGATACCTGTGGTTCTCATATTTAATTAGTGGCTACAGCTGTATTGTTTGTTTCTTGCAAAACAATGTATGTTTCTATGCTTTCTCAACCACTGTTTTTGTCTCAGATTTACCAGTGGATTTATCAGTGGAAAGTACCTCAATACTTCCATTTCTGCTCATGCGCCAAAGTGCTCTTTCTTCATTAAATGATTTTATTTATTTTGCTCCAAATACACCTGTATAAAAGCAGTATTTGTCTGCCTGTGACGCATACTGTACGTAGGCCAGGCAGAAGCGCAGGCAGTCGTTGTGCGTCCTGTTACTATCCTAATTGAGGCAAGATGCAAAAAAAAAAACTGACACGCGATCTCCCTCCCGGGAAGGAGGGTGTGAAGTGTAATGTGTATTTACTGCTTGACAAAAAGAAGGCTCGAAACTCGTCGGTCAGAAACAAGTCTCAGGTTTCCTGGATGATCCCTGGCTCATCCGGGCCAGTGTAGCTCCACCTGTTAGTCTCCCACCACTGCCAGGCTGGAGGAGTGAAGGCAGACAGCGGTTATTCACTCAGTCTGCAGTTGATGCGTATTGAATGTATTGATGTGTGACCAGATCTTATGTATTTCTTCTGTAACAATAATTTATAATATACTTTTTTTAGTATAAAAAGGTTATCAAATTTTATTCTGTGGCAAAAATATCACTAATGCCATACTCACCCCAATGAAGCCCATATACGTTGCTCCTATGTCAGAAATAGCGCACCTGGAAACACATTCCCATTGAACATATACTATAATTTCATATTTAATATTTAATAATTTAATCATATTCCCACAGCCGTCCTTTCCTGAACCTTGCCCTCAGCACTAAGCGAGGCATTGCCTCACTCCTCGTAGGCAATATCGATCGTCATATAGTGTGTTTTGAAGTGTACGGGTTGAATCCAAATTGAACATTTTTAATTTACAGAAAGCAGACTGTGAGAGAAGGAGACCGCGGTTAAGAGAAGTAAATTAGGATAGGATAGCTATGAAATCTGAGGGAAATATATGGCAACTGTTCAAATCGACTACTTGAAGCAGCAAACAGGTTTATCCCAATAGTTTGCAAATCAAAAGCTAAGAAACAGGTTCCCAAATAGTTCAACAATCATGTAGGAAAATATAAGGGGATAAATAATAATATTAATTATTATTATTACATAATAAAATTCTAAAATAAGAGCAGAATCTAGTTGAAGAAAAGGAGTAGAATGAATTGGAAGCACAGGTAAATGTGACATTAGAAAGGACAGGAAATGAATATTGTACGTCTGTTATTATTTCTTTCTCATGGACAGATCGCCTCCCGTTCTCCATCCGGGTGCTGCTGGAAGCCGCTGTGCGCAACTGCGACGGGTTTCTTGTAAAGAAAGCTGACGTGGAGAGCATCCTGAACTGGAAGGAGACACAGACGCAGAGTGTGGAAGTGCCTTTCAAGCCGGCAAGAGTCATCCTGCAGGACTTCACGTGAGTCTTTCTCCGTCACAGGACTGAGTTCTGAGGGCAGCTGCTTGCCTCGTGTCACCTGAAACTACAAGAGAGCTGGGTGGGTTCTCCTGTGTGGGCCTGCATTTGGTGTTTCGCCGACAGGTGCACATCGATACGATACAGACAGGAGCCTCAAGGACACACCCTCCAGCCTCCACCCTCTCTGCTCCAGCTGAGATTTTGAAAGAGCTGGCACCGGTCTCATAATTTTAAGAACTTGTCATAGTGTCACAGTGAAAAGATGTTTGTAGATAGTATCTGGTGATGTACTATGCAAACATTTCACACACACCTGTTTCTCTCTTTTTAAATTTAAAAAATGGAAATTTCAGGCGTATTTTTAAGAAGGAATTTACAGTAGTATATGCATGACTGTATTTCCTCATTCTTTATCCCTGTTTTATATTACTGGCAAGGCATTAAAGGCTGAATTTGTTAAAAATGAATAAGGTACACAAAACACATCAGATATTGCTGACGTCTGTAGTATAACTGTATGGAAAATGAAGGGTGCATCACACAGACGTACTGTATACACCTGTCTGTTGTACTTAGTAGAGATTGTGTTCCTGCCGTGTGAAGGTCCCAGTTTTGCTCTTGCTCTTGTCAGAGGGGTGCCTGCTGTGGTGGACTTTGCTGTGATGCGAGATGCTGTGAAGAAACTGGGCGGCGACCCAGAGAAGATCAACCCAGTGTGCCCAGCCGACCTGGTGATTGATCACTCCATCCAGGTGGATTTCAACAGACGGCAAGTGTTCCTTCAAACCACCTTGTGTTCACTGCTACTCAGTCGAAAATGGCCAGTTTGTAATTTCACTGGTTAAAACGAGAAAACATGCTTGTGATTTGGTGGAATTGTAGATTATTGTCATGTAACATCTCCTGTATTGTGACTTTATTGATGCCTTGATGAGGTTCATTCACGAGAATATTCATTGGACTTAAGATAAGATAAGGTCACTTTGTTAGCCGTATACAATTTCTTGCATTAGGAATTTGTCTTTTCGCATACCCCAGCTTGCTCTCCATGAGACACACAGGCAGGGAGAGAGAAGCCTGAGGTCAGTGTGCAGGGTCAGCCATTTATACGGCGCCCCTGGAGCAGCTGGGGTTAAGGGCCTTGTTCAGGGGCCCAATGGAGTAGGATTCCTCTGCCGGCTGCAGGATTTGAACCGGCAACCTTCCAGCCACAGGCGTAGATCCTAAGCCACAGAACGACCACTCCGCCCCCAACTTCACTGGAGTTTGACCTTAAAGGAAAGAAGTCCTCAAGTAAAGCATTTTTTATTATGATGGAACACTGTGATTTATCATGTATTATTGAAAACATTACTGTTGACACAATTCCTAGCAGCATTGCTAAAATATCATTTATCTAGCTACCTGTCCTTCTGTGAATGATGTGTTTTGTTTGATGTTCTTTAAAATGTGAGTGTGTCTAGATGTGAATTTGTTGGAGTTTGAAGTAATATGTGTATGCTTGGATATGTACTGTGCAGTCATGGCATAAGAAGAGTTGTATTTGTTCTTCACGTTCTTGAAATATACCATGTTGATTTATATAATTATACCATACACATATTGTCTGATTCTTCATAAATTTGTCTTGCATCAGAGCAGCTGTGTTTAACACAAAGAAACATTACATATACAAACAGTACACGTATATATTACATTAAAAATATATTTAATAATAAATATAACAGACATCAACCCATACATAATCATCTTATATCACTCGTACAGGAATCCACACAACTACACCAAAGCCCTGTAAATGTATCCCCCCACAATTACTCTAAGCCCATATAATTGCACTTTTGCACATAATCCATTGGTAGAACTTGCCCATAAACCGTTACTCCTTTATTGTGATAGCATTTACTGATTGAGTAAGGAATAACCATTTTCATCATTTTGTTATTTAGATTGAATTGTGTCTTAAAACTTTCACCCCCCTCTCATCATCTTATTCCATTTTTTCAATAACTTTTTGCATGTTTGTCACACTGAAATGTTTCAGATCATCAAACAAATTGAAATATTAGACAAAGATAACACAAGTAAACACAAAATGCAGTTTTTAAATGAAGGTTTTTATTATTAAGGGGAAAAAAATCCAAACCTACATGGCCCTGTGTGAGTAGTAAGGTGTATATACTTTCTGTTCAATATGTACTGTATCTTATGGGATGCTAATTTATTAAGCTGTTAGTTTATCCATTTCTTTTTATGGAACAAGTAAACGTTTATTCCATGCAGACGCAGCTACCTAATTGAACCATTTATTATTATTTCTAAAATCTGAATAAAATGCTTACGTTACTCATAATCTATGTTGGCAGAAGAACAGTATACAGACATCCATCAGCACTATGCCACAAGTGTTTTCTTAACTTAGTCAATTTGCAAATTACAGTTACAATAAAAATTACATATTACTTCATTTTAAAATAGCTTTACAGGTGTGAACTGCTGAAAATATTATATTACAGGGAATGCACGTAGTAGAAAGCCATTATAAGTCATCTAACAAGTGTTAAATGGCAAATGTAAATCCCGACAGTGAAATGTTTCAGTAACATGTAAGAAGCAAGAGAGATTAGACAGTGGGTGGGTGAAAGGGTTAATGTGAAATTTCCATATTGAAAGCAGCTATATTTTTTTCACTGAAGTGAAATGGTGTAAGTTGTCGTAGACTTTGGCCACTGTGATGTTGAAACATCATGTTGTGCAGAGAACTCATTTAACTTCACCACATTAATTGTTTACTGACCTTCATTCTGTGCTTTTCTCTTACTTTGTATGAGAGTATGTACAATAACAGGCAAACTTTACATAGAAAAATATCATCCTTTTCTATCCAGTTTTTAAGTCTGATTTTTGTAACTCAGTATTAATGCAATTAACATAGTCATTTCTGAAGACATTTTAATGCAATATAGAGTTTATGTTTAAAAGCCACCTCTAAAAGAAAAACATGTTTTAATGAACAATTTATGGATTATTCTCATTGTTTCATGATTTGCAATTTATTTTCTAAGATTTGAAAGAAAATATGAAATAATGAACATTATCTTTTCAGGAGTTGAAAATATTGCAGAACTATCAAATATGTGATGAGCATAAGGAAAGTTGGTATTATTCATCACAAAAAAGCAATGTTAAAGAATCAGATGAAAATACATTTAAACTTCATTACTTCGGTGCTTAATAACAGGTAAATGGGAAAAAATAAGTCTAAGCAAAACAAGAAAAGTTGCAGTGCAGCCTGAATTTAAAATGTTGAGTGTGCTGGTTCTCCTAGCAGTGAAAAGAGATCTTGTTTTGTACTTTTTACTTTAACATGTGTGGTATTGTTCCTCACTCTCAGTGGAGCAGAGCAGGAAGGTTGTAATCATTGCTGCTTGTCTGAATGTAAAAAACGAATGGTCATGGCAAAGAAGAAGAAGAGCTCAGTGCTCCTGTACCTCAGTCCTTGCAGCAAGTACAAAAATGTGTACTATAATGCCAGATCTGTCATATGAGGTCAAACAAAAAACACTGAGAAAGTTGTCAGTTAACTTAGTTGGTCTCTACCTTCTATTGTTTTCACACATGCCTTCCTGTAGTAGTTCTGTATGCACATTTCTAATTGATAATAAACAAACAGTGCCATATAAATGCAAATATTTTTTACCAAGCTTGAAAAGAAGATGGAGCTGTCATACAATATAAGAGGACAAATGAATCTAGTTAACATTGATCAGCTATAAATGAAATGCAGGAGGAACTACAGTAGGATTAGTATTAGTATTTTTTTAGAAGGAAATTGGTAACCGAGTAAAATTGGCATTTTTTTTTCATTGAGATTTGCAAGTACTTCAATTTTTACACGCAAATACGCATATCTTGCATTTTTGTAAGGTATGCAAAAAAATGCATATTTTGCATTCTGTCATTTTCAATTTGGTTGACAGCTGTAAATATGTAAAGTTTTGCAAGAGGTTATTAGAAAGTTGGCTGGTTTGTAGGAGGAAAACAATCATTGTTTTTCAGTTTCAAATGTTCTCAAATGGCATCTTTACCACTGGCTTTGTTGCATTTCTTTCATGGAGCGGTGGAAGTGTCAAGTAAGGAAATAACCTGCAAGCAGTGTGAGGCTCATTTGTTGAAAGCAAGTCCGTTTGTTTTCAATTGGCCATGTGGAGCACTCAAACAACAACAGTTATATTGGTAAAAAAAAAAGCCCTAGTAGGTTTTGAAATGAATTGGCAACTTATAACACTTACTCAAAATGTACCCTTCATTCTGTGCTTTCCGAAGTACATATACATCTTTGGTGAGGACCTTTCATCTCTCTGTAATTTCTCTTCCTTGCAGATGGATGCTGCTAAAATGATCATGGATACTGTATATAGAGCTGAGGTTGTTTGGCCTATGAGTTTCTGGTCTTGTTAGACAAATGGCTGCTTAATGTAGTTAATATGAAACATGAATAGGGAGGACTCTATTGTGGTTGTCTCTACAGGTGGTTATGTGAGATGTATTTTCGTGGCCAGTAAGAATACCTGTATTGTCTTTGCAGGAATGACAGTCTAAAGAAGAACCAGGATCTGGAGTTTGAGCGAAACAGAGAGCGATTTGAGTTTCTAAAGGTATTTCCCCCCTTCCCCCCCCGGTGGTATATATGGATGGATGCTACAGAACAGAACAAAAACTTTTTACAGTAAAGGTCTTGGGGCTGCCCAAGTGGCTGATCCAAGAAGGGCTTCTGCATTTCAAAGTTGTGATAAACTGATTTTTATTCCTCAATGGTTATGTGTGCATGTATTCAGTTCGGATACACAATTGTCAGTTATGGTTGTGTTTCTTATGTTGTGTGTGGCTTCACAATGACTAACATTGACAGTTTGTTTAAAACAAAGAAATACAGGGAAGATGCCTTTGCAGTGAGCCGTTAAGCTCGTTAGTGTGATAGAGGAGTGAAGCCCTGTGATTATGATGTCAAGGAGGTACATGCGTGATTATGTGATCTCTTTGGTTTTCAGTGGGGGTCACAGGCTTTCCACAACATGAGGATCATCCCCCCAGGATCGGGGATTGTTCACCAGGTGAACCTGGAATACTTGGCCAGAGTGGTTTTTGACGAGGATGGACTCTATTACCCAGACAGTCTTGTTGGCACAGATTCCCACACCACCATGATTGATGGGCTGGGTGTACTTGGCTGGGGTAGGCCACCTAACATTGAGTCTACTTTTATTGAGCTCTGCTGTTTTTCCACTTTTCCTTCCCTTAATATAGGTGCATTAGTGGAAGGAAGCACTCAGTGCCATCAGACCCTGCATATCTTCGGCCGTGTTGTGTGATTTTAATTTCTTACGTGCATTGAGATGTCCCAGCAAGGTGGTATGCTCGTGAAAGTTACTGTCACCTGTTGATCAGTATTACCTTGCTTTTCCCCCCAGGCGTTGGTGGGATTGAAGCTGAAGCTGTGATGCTGGGACAGCCCATCAGCATGGTGCTGCCAGAAGTAATCGGATACAGGCTGGTTGGAACTCCCCAACCTTACGTCACTTCGACAGACATTGTCCTAACAGTCACTAAGGTAGGATAAGAGTGCAGTGCTTCCCCTGGCACTACTCAGCTGCTGCTTAGCCAGGAGGAGCTGGTTTGAGGAAGCAGATTAATATGTCAGAGCCTCCTTGTGCAGATGAGGAATATTAGTTAAAGAAATTAGAAAAGGAAACTTTCCTCAGTGTCTGATTGACGAGAATTCATGCGAAACATTTTTAGTTCATGCCGTCGGTAGTAGTAAAGTCTTTTAAATAATATTGCAGTTTGATCACAAATTGCAAACTTCAACGGTCATATTAAGCACCTACTCTCCCTGTGCCTTGCAAAAGTCATTTTCATCTGTTTGTGAAACATAAAATAATAAAGGCTAGGATGTAGAATGTGAACACAACAGCTGGTTCAACTTTAAGACCGATCGTAAACGGGACGTTTAAGAGATGATTACACAGAAATTACACAGAATTCATTGTGGGCTGTTCTGGAACCTGATGTCTTGCCTTCCCTGAAGTTAAGGCACACAGTAGGGCCACACGATCGAGAGCACTCATGTCTGTCCTCTCTGCTCACAGCACCTGCGCCAGGTTGGGGTTGTGGGGAAGTTTGTGGAGTTCTTTGGTCCAGGTGTGGCTCAGCTCTCCATTGCTGACAGAGCCACCATCGCCAACATGTGCCCTGAATATGGAGCCACAGCTGCCTTCTTCCCTGTTGACCACATCAGCATTAAGTATTTGGAGCAAACAGGTATGGACAGAAACCTCACTGCCTGTGCTTTGCAGGTACCTTCTGTAAACTGGTCTTTATTGAGGGTATTTGCCTTACTGTCACCTTTTTGCATGAATTGGATTTTAAATCCATATATTTAAATCTATATATATATATAAAAATTGTATTCTTGAATCAGCAATCACGTTTTTATACCTCTCACACTTTATATTCCTGACCCAGTCTGGGAGAAACGACACTGTTAGGTCATTTACTTCTTCACTGGCACTGATGCAGAAACACAGACAGCAGGGATCTTGTCATTAGAGAACGAAGAAGCTATAGCTGACAATTCTAGAGGCTCACAAGTTCCCAGTTAGTGACAGGAATTGCTTCACTACTAAGCCTGGATTCAAAGTGAATCCCTCCACACTATAGTGTAAAACCTACAGTATATTGCAGTTGGAGGTTATGTACACTGAATTAATTTCTACACAGTGGCACAGTGCTTACCATTGCTGCCACCTAAAGCTGGGGTCCTGGGTTAAATTCCTAGGGTGCTATCTGTATGGAGTTTGTAGGTTCTCCACATGTTCTTGCATGTTTCTCTGGGTGCTCCCGTTGCCTCCCACAGTCCAACGACATACTGGTAGGTTAATTGGCTTCTGAGAAAATTGGCTCTGCTGTGAGTGTGTGCGTGTTTGTGTCTGCCTGCTCTGCAATTGACCAGGGTGTCTCGCCCAGGGTGTATCCTGTCTTGCGCTCGTTGCTTGCTGGGATAGGCTGTGGCTCCCCCACAAGTCTGAATAGGATACAGTGGTCAGAAAATGAATGGTTGGATGTTACATAATACCTATTTCTTTTTTATACACTTTTTACAAAGTTGTGCATTATATGTAGAATGTTTAACCTCTGCTCAGAATTCTATTCCAGAGGGTTAGTGCATTTGTCACTTTGTAAAAGTTGGAACGCAATCGCATTTAGTTTCAAGTTCAAGCTTCAAGTTTATTGTCATTATACTCATACACATATGTGGTATAATGAAATTATATTTAGCTATCTCTCAGATGGCAAGAAGTACAAAAAACACAACAACAATACAATTGTTTAAGAAAAGAAAGAGAAAAAAACAGGCAATGTGCCAAACAACATCAGATATGCAAAAGCGCATTTAAGTGGTTAAACTTAAAATTACAAAATGGGGGTAGCAAAAGGAAAAAAGAAAATGTATTGATTATCAGTCAATAATAAAAGTTTTCCAGAAGTCTGTGAAGTTGTATTCATTCAGCTTTATATAATTGTTATGTTTGAAATTGCTTTATGGTCAATTTGACAAATCCTCATGATCACAAAGGACCTTTAATAGGATTTTTTATAATAAACAGTAAATTTATTAATTTTTTATTTACTGTTACATATTACGTATTTATAATTACAATTTTTAATTACATATAATTAAATAATTGTATATTTATCTTTCTGACGACTGGTTTTTAAGGTTTTTGCTTTAGGGATTTCCTTAACCTCTTTTAGCGCTCTCTTCTGGAACACAAATGGACCGTATTGCTCTGTCTTCCATAACAGAAATACTATATAGGCTTGCAGCTTCCAGCTAATTTCATAGCAGAAAATTAAAAGATAAGAAACTATATGCATAAATAATGTTCAGAAAATAAAAAGAGTAAATCTCTTTCTTTTAATAAATACAGTACCTCCAGCACATACGGGAGAATGTGTTTTTAGCACTAATTCAGTAGCTGAGCCAGATCACTGAAAGCCTCTCCAAAATTTATCGGTGTTCATATGAAAGATTTCCTGTTAAAATGTGATAAATAATCATTTCACCTCTTTATTCACAGACTTACTATATTCATTTTAGATTTTCCCCAATATCTATCACCTCTCTGTGTTTTGGTTCAGGGAGAGATGAGGAGAAACTGATTTACATTCAGCAGTACCTCAAAGCAACTGGAATGCTGAGGGACTTCAACGACACATCCCAGGACCCGGATTTTACACAGGTACAGTACAGGTGTGGGAAAGAAATCACTGGGGCCAACACCGTCCCATCAGAGCTTTTGTATTTGTGTAGGTTTCAGTGTTAGCTTTGCAGATTTTTTTGGGTGGGAGATATTTACGGACGAATTATTGTAAGAAGTAGATAAATAATAATAATAATAATAATAATAATAATAAACTTTATTTTATATAGCACCTTTAAAGGTGACTTCTCAAAGCGCTTTACCAGATGACAACAACTATAAATAAGAAGAATACATAAGATAAAAGAACATTTACAATATAAAGAGGAGACCGTGGATGGTGGTACTAAGAAAAACAGAGGGGTGAAGAATGGAATAAGTTAAGTAAAGGATGCAAATGCAAAGTAAATGCAAAATTGGTTGTCATTTACCATGACAACCATCATTTACTACCATCAGCTCCTCATGCCAAGCCACGACTGCATGAAGATGGCTGATTATTGGTCCATTATTAATATCACCGGTTATGTTACTTTGCAAGGCAGCTCCTATGCAGCAACTAAATAAATGTTTCCTGTCACCTGACTGCATTGTTCCTCTTGAGAAGATACTAGTCGGACTCAACCCCCCTTGCTAACTGTCTCCCTACCCTGCTACTTTGAAGGTGTAATCTGGCTGAAACAGCATCTAGCATAACAGTAATATAACATTACCTCTGTCACATCTGAGTCCTAACTGTCCTGTATGTGTTGCTAGCAGAAAATGTTCACAGCTTAGAGTGGAGTTGAGCTTAGAAAAACAAGGGTATCATGGCAGAGGCAGCTCCAGTAATTCATCATCCTGTCCTTGTGTCCTCTGGCTCTGAGACCCTGCTGTCTGCTTTCTGTGCACAGGTGGTGGATCTGGACCTCAGCACTGTGGTCTCCTGCTGCAGTGGCCCGAAGAGGCCCCAGGACAAGGTGCCTGTGCTGGACATGAAGGAAGACTTTAAAAACTGTTTAGGAGCAAAGGTAAGACGCCACCTCTTGATTGGGATAACGCAGACCACTTGCTACAATTCACAAGGCTTGGAAAACCCAAATGTTCAGGTGAAGGCAAAAATCTGGAATGGTTGTCCACAGACATACAGGATTAAAGTTCTTCTTCTCTAAAATAAAATACATAATGTCGCCACAATCTGTAAAGCTTTCACTTACCGCCAATATTTTTGGACTTGGAGCAGAGCTTGGCAAAAAAATGTTATCCTCAGAAGGACCGTTTAAGATTCAGAAATTTCTTTTTGGGTTTGGAGGCATTTTATGTCAATTATGTAGCCAGTAAATAAGATACTTAGGAATTAACAATATAAAAAATCCTTAATATGCTACTGTAAACAGAAAAGAAAAATGTGATTGGGTAATAATGTCAGTAGAATTGTTTTACAGTTATTTGATGTAAAATTCTAAAATATTTTGCAATGCTTCAGTCTTTTCTAGGAGGATTTGTGGCTGGCCGTAGTATCTGCAGTCTGGTTCTAACCTTTGAAGCTTTTTTGTAATTCTGTTTTGAGGAGAAAAGTTTAGAATCATTTTGCTTGAAAATGATATTAAAATAAATAACATTTCTGATTTTTAGCAAGGATTTAAGGGATTCCAGGTGCCCCCTGAGCATCACTCAGTTTTGGTCTCCTTCAAGTACCTGGATGCAGAGTATGAGCTGTCGCACGGGTCAGTGGTGATAGCAGCCATCACCAGCTGCACCAACACCAGTAACCCCTCTGTCATGCTGGGCGCAGGTACAGTACCTTCTCTGCATTGTCACTTCTCTGCCGCATACAGCACACGGACTGTGCCGTAATTTAGTGACACCACTCTCACCTCGTCTCATTTCTCTTTCGTTCCACCTCAAAAACCCAATTAGACCCAGCCCTTGCCACGTCCACAGCGGCACTGCAGTTATTCAACAGGCTTGCAAAAAGGCAGCTAAGAAAAAGACCGAAAAGTTCAATTGAAAAGTCTTATTTATCTGTGGTGCCGATTCTTTACCTGCTTGTTCAATGTGCAAGTTGGTTACAGAGAACTCACACTGAGCAGACAAGATGACATTAGGAAGGGTTTCAGTGAGCATCAAGGCTTGTTGGGTATCTAACAGAAAGACTGTTCAGAATTTGGTCGTTTTCAAATATTGAATTTTTTTTTTGTCTAATTATGCTTCCCTGCATGTGACTTTTTGCTGTGAATTTGAATAAACCTTGGCTTTTCAGGGATCTTGGCGAAGAAGGCTGTGGAACTCGGACTAAATGTGAAGCCGTACATAAAGACGAGCCTGTCTCCGGGCAGTGGCGTTGTCACATACTACCTGAAGAAGAGTGGAGTGATGAGTTATCTCTCTGAGCTGGGGTAACACAAAATTCACTTTAATCCTGTCCCCCCAGGACTTTCAGCAAAAACATACAGTAGTAGTGTTCTGGAATGTGTTTAAAGGTTACTTATACAGTGTCTGCATGAAGCTCCAGATCTTTTACGATTTGTCAGATATTCATGTTCTGTCAGATCAACATCAGCTTTTGGCAGTGCCAGCTGTACCTGTTCAACTTGACCACTAGGTGGTGCACCCTTGGCTACTAAATGGTGGTAACTACTATTGAGCCTAACAAACTGCATTAATTATATGTATACAAATGTATGTTTTTATTCTTTTTTTTTAATTTTTTAAAATATAACTTCCTAAAGGTGAATTATAAAGGTCATAAGAACATTCTGCTTAATTTATGTGAGTTAATGTGATCAATTGTAGAAAACAGGAATTTGGATTAAATAATCTAGTGAAATCAATAAAGTATGGAAATTTCAAACCTTCATTGAGGGTACATAGCTTAAAAGCAGACAACATTCACGTTGTCATAAATAAGTGGAATCAAAACTTTCTTGTGAATGTAATATTTTTTGTACATTGAAAACACTTTCTCACTTCCATGCATTTTAATTGTAAGGCTCAGAAAGGAATGTCACTCATTTCTGGGAAGTCATTATGTTCATTAACGTGTATATTACAGACCACCGATTCTATTTATTCTGTTATAAAGTTAAGATTTATTTTTCTTAACTAAAAGTGTTTTTTTCATTTGATTGCCATCACCCTTCTCACTCTCCATCAAGGTAGACTTTTTTAAAACAACAGCGTACCATAAGAAAACAAGACAAAGCCATTCAGCCCATCATTCAGCTCATTCAATAGTAGTTAAGTGGTCCAAACTTCTCATCCAGCCATGTTGTGAAAGAAACTGGAGTATTGGCTTCAACATGTTGGCAGGGTCTCTTGTTCCACACCTCACAACCCTTTGAGTACAGAAGTGTCTCCTGTTCTTGGTTTTAAATGTGCTTTAATGTAGTTTCCACTTGTCCTATGATTCTTCTTTCCCTTTTTATTCTGAAGAAGTCTGCTGGGTTGACTTACCCCCTAACTCTTCTCTGTTCAAGCCTATAAAGTTTTAGTTCCTTCAGCCTGAATGTCCTGAAATTCCTTTTCTTTTATTAAAGCACTTTTATGGTGACACTAGTAAAGTGGTCTGGACAGCTGTGAAGCAGGTACATGTGTGAAGTTTCCCTTGACTGAGAGTGAGAAATTGTTGTTATAAGGAATAGGTAAGGAATAGTGGTTCTGCATGTAATAAACCTGGATTAAGTGTGGGGTTTTTCAGATTCTCTTCTTCTCCACAGGTTTGAAGTTGTGGGTTATGGCTGTATGACCTGCATAGGGAACAGTGGGCCCCTCCCAGAGCCAGTAGTGGAAGCCATCAACAAGGTACAGGGTGCTCACTGGTGCCATACAGCTCTTATTGGAAAAACATGCTCTTTAAAGGGTGCTTTGTTAATTTAAAAGAAATATGGAACAATCTTCAGAAAACAGGGTGTAATGGTTAACTTGGTATAGGATAGATCAGATTCAGTAATTTAACCCAGATCTGCACTGGGTTTTTGAAGTCTAGGCCCAGGTCCAGTCTGCATTCAAAACAGATCGCTATGTTTTTGCTAGGTTTGGTTTAAACCATTAAAGACTTTATCAATAAAGACACCGTAAAAAAAACAACATGCACATTTCAAGTGCTCAAGAAGAAATGTTGTTCTGGTGATTTTATGATTATCGTTGTTGTCAGAGCAACCTGGTGGCTGTGGGAGTCTTGTCGGGGAACAGAAACTTCGAAGGTCGCGTCCATCCCAACACGCGCGCCAACTACTTGGCTTCCCCTCTGCTGGTCATCGCGTATGCCATCGCCGGCACGGTGCGGATAGACTTTGAGAAGGAGCCATTGGGTGAGCAGCCACAAGGCAATTTTTTATACTCAAGGTAGCCTTGAAGTAAAACAGACCCAGAATTTTTAAATGTAGCTAACATCTGTTAACACGCACATTCCATCTGACGAACACCTCTCTATATTGGGCAAACAGAGCGCTGGTGGATTTTTTTGTGTTAATTTCGCAGCACTTGATTGATTACTTGATGTGTTTTCCCCCTGTTGTGGGACATGTTTTCAGAAAGAAGCAGTAGCTGCCACTGGATAGTTTCCACTTGAGATTTTCATCAAGATTCACAAAACTCATAATACACCTGACAGAGGCTACAAACCTATAAAACATCTATCCCTACTGAAAATAGAGTAAGGGGAGTGGAATTGTTTTTGTTATGAAAAAAATGACCCAAGGGAACAAAATTTCACCCGAGCAGAGCTTTCTAGTTAGGAGTATACTGTAGATCATTTCACAATTTACAAGCCACAATACTAGCAGCCTTTTGGAGGAGAGAGGCATAGAATAATTCCCTACCAACTGTTTTCATAGGTGTCAGCCCTCAAGGTAAGAATGTCTTCCTGAAGGACATCTGGCCAACCAGGCTTGAGATTCAGGAGGTGGAGCGGGAGTTTGTCATTCCTGCCATGTTCAAGGAGGTCTATGAAAAAATTGAGGTAAAAAATAGTCCAGGGTTCTTATAGAAAATGGAGTAACTGAATTATGTACAGGCATTAACAATCACTAACTGAGGTTTGAGAGTATTGCAATGAATGTCGCAGCATACAGCAGGCACATTTCAACGCAGCCTGATCACACTGATACATAAACCTTAATGCATCTAGTTGAGACAAAATGCTAAAATGCACTTAAAGGGTATGTACAGAAACTCATATTACATGTCAGATTTTCAGTAATGGGGAAAATAAAGTCTAAACTGAGCTTCAGAGTTAACTGTGAAACAGCGTTTTCATCAGTTGGAGAACATTTTCTTGGATGTTCAGTTTACCAACATCAAATAGCATCTAAATAGAGGTTATTTCTCAGTGTTTGCTATTCAAGAATGAATTATTTGCATATACCTTTATTTGAAGGCCTTTTTGTGATAGATTCATTTCTTTGTAGTATGCTTGTTGCTGCCTTATGGGATGACAGAAATGAGAAAACACTGCCTATGACTGTGAATAGTCTTATTCTAAAATGTTCTCTCAATGCCTTAGCTAATTGCATACATGTATGAAAATTAAGAATAAGAATTTTTAAGACTCAAAAGACAAAGTTTTTTACACTAAGGGAGATTGGTATTTGGAACAAGCTGCCCATGCATGTACTGTAGTTGTTGATTCCACTCGACTTTTCAAGATATGGTTGGCTATTAACTAAGAGAGAAAAATGGTTTGTAACCTTTTTTTTATATATTGTATACAAATAAGAGAAGAAATTGCTTCATTTTTATAAGATGCTCAGGCTCTGCCTGTAACATGTCTCTTTGTCATTTGTTAAACCTCGCTTCTAGTAGAAGGTAAATGCCGAAGACAGGGTTTCTGGTGTCATTGAATGTGATCTGACTGTGGTCTCTCTGTAGAAAGTAAATGAGCAATGGAATGCTTTAAAAGCTCCCTCAGAGAAACTTTACACCTGGAATCCCAAATCGACCTACATCAAACCTCCTCCTTTCTTTGATAATCTGGTGAGTGCACCAAAAAAACAAAAAACTTCCTTTTGTATGGTAATTAATGTAGGACAAAAATATGACATAATAGACAAATTATCAGTTATAAAACATTCTGTGGAAAGAATTTAATGGGCTTTGTTGACCTGGTACTTGAGGTAATGCTTAGTTATTAATTAATTAACTGTTTAAGTGCTGAAAATGTCATCAAGCCTGTTCATTTTTCAAAAATGTTGTCTGTACATTTTTTCAGGTAAGAATGAATAGGGTCTTTCTAAGTATTATGACAAAATAGGATAGAAAATGGATAAAACAAATGAGAAATGAGGTGGAACACTTCAATCAGCCAAAATAATCTTGTATATTCTAGTTCCCACACAGACACTCTTGGAAGCTATGCAATGATATTACCAATCACTATGCTTTATTTATTTGTAGTGCATTCTCATTTAACATTGCTCTGACATTCCTTATGACTTCCCAACGACACTCCCAGCTTTCATTTGCCTGTTTATCTTCAGCTCTTGATCCTGACCACCCACATTCAATATCAGCACCCCGACATGAGGAGACTTGTCTCCTTCATTGTGAAAACGCCTCTATTATTTTGCCTGATTACCCGTTGCATCTCTTCTCTCACTTGTTTTCTGTATTTTCTGTTCTGTTCATTCATTATTTGCAAAAATGATATAAAAAATATGAACCATACCAGCCAGTAATCCCCGACACTGGTGAAGCGTAGTTCCAGCCTTGATATAAGACAAGGTTCTCGTCAGTGATGTTGTTCAGACCAGTTAAATAAAACCAGATTGAGTAGTAATCAGTGTAAAACAGTTTCATATATCCTTGAATTAATCAAGCTTATATATTCCAGCTGTGAGTTAATTGCAGTAACATCCGTCCATTTTCTAACTGCTTTATCCAATACAGGGTAACAGGAGAGATAGAGCCTATGGGCACAAGAAATTAAAAAAATCTAAATTAATATGAAATATCCATCCATTTTCAGTTAGCTCTTTACCCTGACAAGATCGTGGTTGATATTCACCAATCCTATAAACAGCCATTAAATAGCTATGAAAACTATCTCATGGTTATCTGCCAATAACCTTTGTCCTACAGACTCAATTAAAAAGACTAACAGCTGTAGGGATAAACGATGACTAACTACAGAAAATGCCTTTATTTAGAACCACTTTTTCTGAAATTGATCAGTTCCGCACTTTCTGCTAGACTGTTAGGGAAACATCCTTCCCCCAGATAACAAAACAAATTCCAGAAGTCCCACACCATTCGGAACCAGAGCAGTTTCCAAGCAGAGGAAACTCAAAAGAGCTGGCAGCCCCGTATGTGATCTCTTGTCACAGCCTGAGGAATAGAGAGCAAGCCTCTCAAATAGTAATACGATGTCATTGCCCTAAATGTTTGTAAAGGTTTTGCAATTTTTTATTGCTTTGGCCAAACTGTAATTCATTGGTCATGGAAATTAAACTCCTTGAGTTTGAATTTTAGAAGCAGCTTGCTCTGACCAGCTGCACCTCATCAGCTGTGCTTATTTGTTGTTTGGGTTTCAACTGCACTGACCTTCCACCTTGGCTATTACAAGCTACTATAAAGAAATAAAGTTGGATTTCTTTCCATAGACTGTAGAGCTGCAGTCGCCCAAGTCGATCACTGATGCGTATGTGCTGCTGAACCTTGGGGACTCGGTGACAACGGACCACATCTCTCCAGCGGGGAATATTGCACGCAACAGCCCTGCAGCACGTTACCTCGTAAACAGAGGGTGAGAGACGCTTTTTTTTCACCACACCAGGCAGAGTGCATGTGAGCAAACAAAGCAAGCTGCTTGGGACTGGTGAAACTGCAGGGTTCAGACATTTCCAAATCCCCTTTTTTCAAGTCTTCACATTGGACAAAATAGCCATTGCTTTGAGGACATCATGTTGTAGCTCTTAGAAGTCTGTACATAAGTAAAGGTATTTTTGAAAATGTAGACTAAGATACCATAACTGCACAATACTATTCTCAAGCATGCTAAATGTGCTTTTTTTGACAGTTGTGTGTATTCTTACAAGAACAGGTGGGCAGCTGTGTCAGCACGCGTGGGCTGCAAAGGAACAATAGGTTTATTCCATGCTGAAAAGAGAAGAAAGAAAACATAGCGTTTCGGCCGTGGAGCCTTCTTCAGGTGTTCTCACAAGAACACTTGATATTGTACTGAATGATATATTTATACTGTACTACAATATATGCTTTCAAGCTTTAGCAGTTATGGAATTTAAATTTCCTAAATCAGTAAATCCTAGCAGGGGGCAAAATGTAGTCAAGTTAGTAGTTCTGCAGTGTTAATTATTTATAAAGCTTCTCTTGTGGCCATATGCATTTCAGTGATGGTCTTTTAATTTAAAGCGGTGTACATGAGAAAGTGCTATTCAGCCTGTTCAGCTTCTTAAGTAATGAAAAGCTAATTGATCCAAGGATCTCTTACTGTTACATATTGAAAGAAGCCAAGATATCAGCTTCAACAATGTGGCTGGTTGGCATGTTCCAAACTCTTTACTTGGCGTAAGAAAGTGCCTTCTGCTCACGGTTTTAATTGCACTTCCACATAGTTTGTATTTGAGCATTCTGGTTGTGATTGACTGTTCACTTTGAAGGAATCCTCTGGGTTGACTTTGTGAGCTCCTTTGAGCATTTTGAACATTTGTATGAGCTCCCCTCATAATCATCTTTGTTCGACACTATACAGGATATGTTCCTTCAGTCTGTGTAGGACATTTTTTTAAGCCCCGGGATGTATTTGGTTGTTCTTCTCTGGACTAATTCCAGACTGATAGTATCTTTGGCACTTGAACTCTAGAGCTTGCATGAGTAACCATTTAGAATCTAGATGTTTTGATAGTTTACTGCATTTGGGGTTTTGTGCAGTGTCTTTCAAAATGACAAACAAGAAAAAAACTGTTTCTCTAACAGTAGTTTGTTGTTATATACATACTGCACTATGTTTTGTCTTGAACTGCCCTCAGTGTCAAAGATCAGTCGGGTTATACGGTGTGGGTTCCAGACTATCCAGACATTTTCAGACATTGATTTTCCAAGTTGCCTCCAAGCTACAAAAAATAAATGAGTGAAATGAATATGATTAAAGTAGTGTGTTTGTAGCCAACAAAAGGTTGCAAAGAGAGATTTTTATTTCACCTGGGAAAGAATCCATGCATATTAGTGTGAAATATTAATGTGTAGTAGTCCTTAAATAATTAGCATTATCCTAGTTTATCACTATGACGCAGTTCAATTTCAATTTAGATATCCAAAGCAAATTCATCATGTAAGAACAATGAAGATGAGCATTTTGAAATCAAAACTGATTTATCAAATTGTATCCCTCTTTTGTTTATAAAACTAAAATTGTTCCTGAAGTCAGATATAGTTCCCTTTTTCTAAATGATTTTTTCTCCTTCAACTGAAATTTGACAATCTCTTGGACTGAGAACACCAGAGTTGCCTTTTCCCTTACTTTGATCTTCAGAGCAGAATCTGAGCACCTGCCGTGGGATGTGTGATCAGGGCTGCCTGCTGTAACATGTGGCTTTTTACTTTACAGTTTGTGCCCCCGTGAGTTCAACTCTTACGGATCTCGCCGTGGCAACGATGCTGTTATGGCAAGGGGCACTTTTGCAAATATCCGTCTTTTCAACAAGTTCCTGAACAAGCAGGCACCAGAGACTCTGCACATACCTTCTGGAGAAACGGTACTGAAAACATTGGAGAGGAGTAGCTCTTAACTGCTTCATTATCAGTCTTTCAGCTAAATAAAGGTGTGCTGAGGTCTGTTGAAGATTAGTCACCTGGGATTACTAATTGACTTGTGTGCAGAGAACCATCATGGTAGACAAAACGTAGGCACAGCTGTCTTTGTAAGGATGATTAAAGCCTCTAAAAATCCCTCTCTAGACAGTCTGCCAGACCTTTTTGTCATGAAAATATTTGAGTGATATTGAGCATGAGCTGTATGTTTTTTTTCCAGATGCAATATATACTATTTGTCAGAATGTCGCTAGTTGTATTAGCAATGTGATGGTGCTAGATGTGTGCTAAGAATCGGAAGAATTCAGCTAGCTGTTGCTTTGCTACAGTATCGCCACCCCAGTACAGTGCAGTAGTCTTGATGTTTTTGGCACTTGTCTCCTGGAACAGCTGGATGTGTTTGATGCTGCTGAACGGTACCAGCAGGCTGGGTTTCCTCTCATCATCCTGGCAGGAAAGGAGTATGGTTCTGGGAGCTCCAGGGATTGGGCGGCTAAGGGACCATTTCTGCTGGTACAGCTTTGGTGTTTTCCATCCTCCAACTTCAGATTCCACCTAACCAAACAATATTTAGAGTCTTAACAGTCATTACAAGAAGGGGCAGATGGGTAACCTTTTGTTCTGTTTGCCTTGCATTAAGATCACATCAGATCACTTTATTGGCCATATATAATTTCTTGTATTAGGAATTTTTCTTTTCACATACCCCAACTTGCTCTCCATGAGAGCAAAAAACTGTTAAGTTAACACCAAAGTGTGAATTACAGTGTATCTTTACAAAGCTGACAGCTCTCTCATTTGTAAACATTCCTATGTTCTATAAGGGGTGAGAGAGGAGAAATATTTTACAGTTTAGGATCTGTTGTAAATACTTTACAGTTTAGGATCTGGTGCCTACAGGTTTAAAAACACAAGTTACAAGATCGAGAGAAAAAAACATTTCTTAAACAAATATTAAGAAGTGCTAGCCTGGAGAAAGTTTTAAGTTAGTTTTAAGTTTGAAATGAATTTTGAAGTCGGATAGAGACAGGGAGACTTACACAGTCTCAGACAGAGCGTCTCTTTGGGAAGTCCTGTTGCCCACTATATGGCAACAGTTGTTATGGTAATAAGCTATTAAAGCTTTATGAATTTTCAACTAAACAAGAAAAGTAGTTATTACATAAATGCTTCCCAGGAAAAGAGGCCTGTGGTGTAAAAGCGTATACACAGCAGTCTTTTCATTTTTCTGTGTAAATGTGGCTTGGTGCAGCGTGACAGACCCAGCAGCTGAGTGTTTGCCTTCCCTGCCTTCAGGGCATCAAAGCGGTCCTGGCGGAGAGCTACGAGCGAATCCACCGCAGTAACCTGGTGGGCATGGGAGTCATCCCGCTGGAATACCTCCCTGGTGACACAGCTGAGTCGCTGGGCCTCACGGGGAGAGAGCGCTACACTATCGTCATCCCTGACAAACTCACGCCCCGGATGATTGTCAACATCAAGGTATACTCGTCGTGTTCAGTCCAGAAAATGGCTGCAAGCGCTCGGGTAGATGGCTGACTCCAGCTGCCAGGAGTGACTTGTTCTGTGTTTCATTTCTAGGCTTCTCACAGAATCCTTCACCCTCATGTAACTTCCACTCTCTGTCGTTAGTCTTCTGCACTCTTCTCCTCAGCTGCACATCCTCCAAAGTCCTGTCTCTAATTTCTCTTTAATTTTTAATAATCCAAAGTTTACGTGTTCTTCAAGCAAACAAGAGAACAGGCAAACAGTTTAATCCAACTTGAACTTCCATTTGCACACTCGTGCTTTCATTTAGAACATCTCACATTGTTAACACCTTTTTAAAAAAATACATTTCCGAAAGGGATTTTCTAAGTATCTCTGGGAATGGCTGAAGATGTTCTTTCACATGGGCTAGATGCAAATATGCTAAAAACGCCAAAGGTGTTGTGTGTTATAGTTTCGCCTGGTGATAACAGTTGCAGGTAGCTGCTTCCTGACACACAGGAAGGGGACCTGACTTAAAATGGTTCTGGCTCTGCTTCTGTCATGCATTTTCAACCGAGCATATGCCTGTGATTTCACTGACAGCTTTGTGTAGACATCCTCACCTATGCAGCTGTGCAAGTCAAACAAAAGGTTTTAATTAAGTAAAATTACTTCAGAAAAGGTATAATAAATGCAAGTGTTTTCAAATATTATATCTTTGATTTAGAAAAAAAATGTGAGTGTAAAGACAAGATATTTATTATTAGTGGCAGGGGCAAAATCTGTTTTTACTTCTTCTTGATGGATTATAATTAAAACAGGTATTTTGTAGTGGAAGTGATACATTGTTAGCTCAGAAACATCTTAGGCTTGGTTGTCTGAGATATCAGGGTGTCAAGGTAACAGAAAAGTACAAAATGAATGTGCCTAACCCTAGACCGTGATAATGACAAAACACCCATAATTATATTTAAACTAGCCTTGGAGCAGTTCCCCCTGCATATTTTAAAGGTATAATAACCTTTTGCTTTGAAGATTTTTTTTTCTCTTGCAAATGTTTATAAAAATAATACATACAGTGCAGAGAAAAATGTTGTGAACCCCCTACTTTGACCTACAGTGCCAATAAAAGTCTGCACACCCTTTTCAAAGTAACACATTTTATGGCCTAAAAGCCTGAAATCACAACAGTTTGTAATATATTTTACCTTTACAATTGTAACACACAAAACAATAATAACAAAGTAACACACAGCCTCCAAGTGAAAAGCAAATGCTCAGACATTCTGAAAAATAATTACAATTTAGACAGGGGTGCCCAAACTACGTGTATTGTTTACCTGTTACCCAGTTATTTAAACACGACTGAAATTACCCCCTTAATTGTGCAGTAAACTATGGGTTAACATATTGTTGAACATACATTGATTCTTATGATTTATTTCTTCTTCACCATTGTATCTGAGAAACCATTAAATTGGTGAAGGTAACCCCTTTTGACTATTTAAGCAAATACCCAGTGTTGAATAAACAAGGGTATTGCAGCAGTAATTGTATTGCAGTAAATTGTAATGTCTAGAATTATTTTGGGGATGTTCACAAACTCTGCACTGTACATGAATTTAGTATTCATTCATGTTTGAACAGAAGCATCTGTACTGTGAAGGCAATGATCCCCTAAGATTGGTCTGATTAGAGATTTTAGTTTCTCTACTGCCGAAAGGACAGGCAGTCATCTTTGCCTACAGTTTAACCACTGTTTAACTGTTTTCTTCTTGGCTTCATCAGCTGGACACAGGGAAGGTCATCCAGGCCCTCGTGAGGTTTGACACAGACGTGGAGCTCACATATTTCCACCACGGAGGTATCCTCAACTACATGATCCGCAAAATGCTGGAGAAATAGCGGAGGAGCCGTCAGGTGCAACAGAAGCTGGAAGTAACATCCTTGATCTAGGGGGAAAGCTCACAAGAGAAAGGACTGACACAGACACACATTTCTCTGTTTTCTTTTGACCTTTGTGATTTTTAAATTAACCTATAGTACACATAATTTTTTTGCCTGTTGGAGACAACAGTTGAAAGAGAAGGGAACACTGGATGTTTTTTTGAATGAGTGCAGATACCTCAGTGTAAATGCCATTGCCAGCACTGGTTGACTTCTTGCCCTACCTCATTGTCAAATTGTCTTCAGTGTCCCAGATAACAACATTTTGTTACATTGGGTGCCTAGTCATTCGTCCTTGTGCCATTGGCTTTGGTCGTTGGGTTTCCCTGACAGATCCAGTCTACTTATTTTCTTTTAGATGTCGCTTTTTTTGTCAGTGTACTTGTGGTTGTTTACTTTAACCCTTCCTTTTAAATCATGAGCCAATATTTTAACAAAATAACAGAGAAATGTGGCAGTTCTCAGCATTATTAGCATGTAGTTACATACACAGTCAAGACTTCTTCTAGCATATCATCTTTGTGTTGCTAGGTCCTAATCAGTGCTCCCTAGATGAATTTATGTAATGCTCCTAATCACTTATTATTAAATCTGTAGACACCAGCAGAACGTGAGGTCTGTCATTTCTTTATGGTATGGTATGCTGCTTATCTTCGGTTGATCATGGTATAGGTAAATGTGACAGTATGGTTCTATCCTGAAATCTAATTAAATGTATTTTCAAATCATTTATACAATTTGCTTGATTCTTTTTAACCCTTATTTCCTTGTCAGCTAATTTTATTCATGATTAATGCTTACATTTGGATTGTCAATAATGCACTTAGTTTTATGATTATTATGGAATCTACTTTTAAAAAAGAGGATTCACAAAAGTGTAAGACAACTGCAATGGCTAAGTTGTGGTTTTATTAACTGCAAGTGCTGTTTTTCTTGTTACTAAAACATTATTAAGTTCTACTCCGAACAATATTAATAATGACATAGAACCAGGCACTCGTTTAATGTTGCAAAGATGGGTAATGATAAAAAAGTATTAAAAGAACATTTCAGCTGCCAAAATTCATAACAACGCAAACATAACGTAGTGAAAGTCACTTGTAGTGGTTGTAAAATGTATGTATTATTTTTTGTTTGCTAGATCAATATTTCTTAGTGATGAGTATATAAAGTGTTTACTATGTTGTAACCAGGACATTTTCAGTTCAAACAGGACATAAGGAAAGCTCACAGATGACTATTTAGCCATTTTTAAGGTACTTTGCAGTTATGTTTTATTCAAAAAGAGTTCTTTTGCTCAGGCTCAAAATTTTTGATTGCTAGTGTTGCCTGCTTTTATGAATGTTGTATTTTTTCAGGCTTTCAAATGGCACACCAAGACGAAAAATTGAATTGTGCAGGTCAGGTTTCTAATTTTTAATGAATTTCTAAATTATATTTTTTTCCAATACAACCTACAGATGGTACAAAAACGACATGGTGTTTCATAGGTTGAGCTCAAATCCAGATGTTTGAGCAGTTCCCCTCTTTTCTCTGTCCAATATTATTGACTAATCTTTTGATAGACCCCCGTATCTGTTATCACATCCCTTCACTCCATCCTTAACTGCCAAATATGGATACTTTCATTCTGTTAATACTAATTTTATATATAGCAAGTCAGAAAACAATAAAACATAATATTCTTTGGGGAGATGGATGTTTTCAGACATATTTCAAGGTTTAAACCTTTATTATATTCTGAATGTCAAAGAACTGCTCCAAAAAGTAGCTTAAAATAAGAAAATAAGTGTAGGAATTTTTTTAAGGAGTGGTAGTTACCCACCAAAATATACAGCTTCATATCTGGAATAAACATTTTCTTGAGATGTGATTTAGAAGATTTGGGAGACACTGCAAAACTTTTGCAGTCCTGGACATTGAAGGTACTCTTGGTCATGTAAGCCATTTCTAAGTCTGATGTAAATTTCCTAAGGGTGGTCAAGAGATGAGGAGCCAGTCATCTCTAACAGGCCCACACCTCACATGAACAGAAGAAAATGATCACGTAGTTGTACAATCAAGACAAGAAATATAACAGAAAATCAAATTAGCTT